CGCGCCGGCGGGACCCCGCGAGCAGGAGGAAGGCAGCTCCCTTCCCGCCCTCCGAGATGCTGCTCGACACCTTCCCCCTCTCCCAGCCCTGATGGGAAACAGATTCGGAGGAAAACGCCAGCAAGGCACTGGGCTGGCCAAGAAAGGGAGGGCTTTGTGCTCCACGCGAGCCAGCAAGCTCACCATGCACCGCACAGAGGGGAGAAAGGGAAAAAAAAATCCTTTTAACATACAATTCCCATCCACCCAAGACTTTCTCTTTCATCTGCAATTAGCACATGATGTACTGGGCCTCGTTTAACACTCGTTTTCACTGATTTAGGATTAAGGGGATCAGATCAGGGTGCTTTCTGTTAATGAATCTGAGCTCTAATTCTCATTAGTGATTTCGGTTTCCTATTTTTGAAGCACGTTTCTACCTACCAGTATTCCCCTTCTCCGGCCATCACCATTTCTAGCTTCCCTCCCACCCCTGCTCACATCTATTTTGCTTTACCAGGCCCTTATGCATATGCAAAAGCTGGTCTCCCAGATTTCCAAGGAAAACAGGGAGGTTTGCTCCTTAAAACTCAGGCAAATGCAGATGAGGCAGACAATTTTGTCTGGAAAATTAATCAAAAAGAACAAGAGACTACCCACGGCACTGCTGCATTCACTCGGCAGCAATTATCAACTCAAGATACCAGTAATATTGACTTTTCATAGACACAGAGCTCTGTGGAGTAATAAGTTCACGGGTTCTGAATAATGCCGCTCCACTACCTCAAAGAGCTCTGCAGAAGCACAATAACGAGGATGAGGAGGCTGCTCTGCACACGCCGTGTTACCCCAGAGCAAACCTGCAGTATGACTTAAATGCTTCCTCTGCAAAAAGCAGCTCAGTGCTACAGCTGAACTCACCCTTGCCAAGCTCCTTAATTCTGAACAAAGGGACATCGGTCATTCACTGCATCAGAGACCCTTACCTAAGCTCCTCTCCCTTCCTGCTTGTTTTAATACGCATCTTCTTCAACACCAGCATGTAAATGTGCAACGCCAAACCAGAAGACATACCCTGGATAGCACGCACTCTTCAGGCAGTCACAATTCAAGGTCAAGCAAAACTAAGAATTCATGGGCTTGATGCTTCCCGTGCCTGTAAATTAACATTTTCCGAGGAAGACTCAGACTACTTCCCTGAAGTATATTAGGGCATCCCCAGATCTCTCTGTAAGTTTATGACTTCTCCTGGGCAACAAAAGATTTCCACGAGATTCCCATTCCCAAGCTCCGCACATCTCCGAAAACCAACCAGCTTCAGGTTTCCTGCCCCTACGCGCGTCCAAACAACCTACACTTGTGCACCGGGGACACGGGCACCTTTCTGCACCACGCAGACACAGACCACGTCCATAACTGTGCATGTGGCAGAGAACGCACTGCCGGCGGAGATGGGCACAGCAACGCTCCGAAACGCCCGTGCACAGCGGGGCTGATGGACACGCACCTCCGTTTAACCGGGCACGCTTCAGAGCGCACGGCAAAACACACACAGACTCTTGCTGCAAAGACACAGTTTTCAGATCATTCGCTGAGCTAAATATAGCTGCAGAAAGCCTCAGGAGATTTCTGCAAACCTCTTCTGGCTCAAAACAGAAAGCCTTGGTCCAGATTGAAAGGAGTTGGTAATGGAAGGGACTAAACAGCAAAAGCACGAGGTAAGGTTTGAATACCTCGGAATATACCTTAGATACCTTAGAGTGGATAGGGACCTATTTTTCAGCACTGAAAATCAATGCGAGATGAGACACAAGGAAGGGTCAGAGCGGGTATCACTTCTTGGAGCGGATTCAGCAAGAGCCAAGCACCGGGGAAGCGCTGCCCTTTGCAGCGGGACACGCAGAATCCCCGCAACCGCCAGCAAAGGGGGATTCCGTGAGGGAGAAGGAACGCCAAGAATACCGTAGGCAGATATGCTAAAAATCGCAAAGCTCCACAGAAGAAAATAAAATAAAATAGCACCTGTGAAAACCAAATTGGACAAAAAGTTCCTTTGTGCAGCCTTTCCCTCCACCCCTTCGGGAATATCCCCCAAAGGCTGCCAGCTCCGCAAGGCACTGCAGGGCATTATATAATGCCTCACTTAAGGGATTCCAACACCGCGATGCTGCCTTCCTCCTCCTCCCGCTCCTCGTGTCCCCCTCGCTGCCCGTGGCAGCTTGCAGATTCCAAGCCAAAAAATATAAAAAATAAGAAAAGAATTTAGCAGAATAAAGCCATGGACCAGCCCCAGAAGGCGACGCGGCCCCACGCAGCCCCCTCGCGCGGCCGCCGGGGCTCCCCGCGCC